TCAACCAGATTTTCTTAGAATCTGAAACTAAAAAACACAAAGAAAATTCTCTTCTTTCATCTTCATATTTATCAATCATTAATTTAATCTGTTGCAACAAATTGTTATTGATATTAATTTGAAGTTTAATCTTATCAATAGTTTTTTTAGTATCTATAGTAAATCCTTGATTTTTAATTTAATTCAAAACATTAATAAAAGTATAATATTTTGAATTAAAATCAAGTAAATTATTATACTGATCTTTTGCTGCTTTGTATTCAGATACTATTTTGTTGTATTACGTATTTAAAATTTTAATCGGTCTTAAAACTGATTAAATAGAATTACAAGAAAAATTTTTTTCTATTGCTAAATTTAATGCTTGTTGCTCAGGAATTAATTCATCATCCGAATCATCCATTTGTAATTTTATATCACTAAACTCAATACCGTTATTATTATTAACAACACCATTTTGACTCACTATATATTTTCTTTTATAATCAGAATCTTTTTTTCTTTCTTCTCTTTCAAATTTTAATTCATTATCTTTAACGAATTCATTTTGAGAAGATACTATAATATCACGTGGACAATTATGATATGTAAAATAAAATTTGTTGCAAATGATACAATATTTTTTTAAATCATCTTTAACTATAAAACCATTATCAGTTATATATGTTGATTTTGAACAATCTGATTCTAAATCATCCTGATAAATAGAATTTGAACAAATCGAGGAGTTATATTTTTTCTTTCTGATATATTTACGTTTAAACACATATTTTGGTTTAGGTTTTTTACTATTTTGTTCACTCCTACGAACAAGTATACCATTATAATATACTGTTCTAAAGTTATAATCACTTTCAACCATAAATTTTGATTTAGAAATTTCTTTCAAATTGTTTCGCAAATGCATTTTTTTACGTAAATAAAATTCTGTTTGGTCAAAGACTAAACAGATAATATATATTTATTAAATAATACAACAAAATTATTTTACTTCATTAATTTCTTCTTCAAGATCTTCCATCTCAGTTTCTAAACGTTTTACCGAAAATTCAGCAAAACTTTTGTTCTTTTTTAAAGTTTCTTTGAATTTTTTCGCCTTGAAAAAATTAGGATCATTACGATTTTTAGGTACTGATTGAATAATTCTATTATATTCTGCAACATGAGCATTTAAATACGTTAAATATAATTCCATAAATTCATAACGTTTTTTTTTATCTGAAAATGCTACACTATATACATTATTATCAATTTCTTTTGAAACTTCATAATTTTTTAATTCGAGATAATAATTAAGTTCAGCTTCAGAATTCTTTTGAGAATCATCTTCAGCTTCAATATTTTCTCTTCTTCTTTTATTAGTCATTTTTGCTTACGTAAAAAAAATTCTAGTTGGTCTTAATGACTAACTAGACAAAATTTTATTGAAAAAACTAATAAAATACATAACAAATAAAATAATTAAAACCCTAAAATATTTTTCATATCGAATCCTGAATAACTTGCAAAAAACATTTTTTAATATCAAATCAACAATTTCTGATATTTCAAGATATGTTGTATCAATATTATCAGATATTTTTTGCGCTTTTTTAATCAAAGAAGAATCACGTGTTATTATATCTAATTACACGTTCAAATCTTCTGAATTAAATTGTTTTTGTCGACGATCAACACGTGTTTCAAAATTAGCTGTTAAATAAAATTTAATTTCAGCATCAAGAAGAATATCAGTTGAATCACGACCCACTATTACAAACCTTTCTGTCTTGTATTTTTTGAATAATTTCACTAATCTTTTTACGAATATTAATATTTTTTGATAGCTTTAATGCTTGTTTATCATTATCTCTCTCATAAAAAAATGCTGTATTGTCAATTTGAAAAAAATATTTGAGTTCTTCGTTATTTAAAATATTTATCAATTCTTCTTCATCAAAACTTGATGTTTTTGACACTAGATATTGATAAAATAAATCGGTTTCTATAAATTAATAATTTAATTTTGTCACTAACAATTTACCAACACTTGATTTTCCTGATGCACAAGAACCAGAAATTGCTATATTAATCTTTTCCATAATTACATACTTAAAATTCTAATCGGTTAATAACTGATTAGACTTTATTAATAGTAAAATTTATTTCTCAACTTCCTCTATAATAAATGGTAAATTACTCTTTGTTGGATGATATGACATTTTTAAAGAAGCTGCAATAGATATTAATTCTTCATATTTTT